TGTGTGTGTGTGTGTGTGTGTGTGTGTGTGTGTGTGTGTGTGTGTGGTGTGTGTAGTATATATATATATATATATATATATATATATATAGTATATATATTGTACGTAGATATTTACATTATTATAACCAATACGATATAATAAATAAAATGTTGCTCGGGCACACACCGATCGCCGCGACGGGCTCAGTATTCTGGTCCGACATGGTGTTTGTGCGTCCGGTGACTACCTGGTTACTGTTTTACAGCTGAATCATGTTGTTTATCACGTATTCAAAGCCAAATCGATAATTCATTTGAAACCATGCGGCAAATATTTCGATGAGGTTCGGTACTTAATCATAACCCATAAACAAGGATCTGGACTATTTTTTAGGTTTTCTTCTTCTACTCTACTGTCCCGTTCGTCTGGGTTCAGGAATCAGGGCAGACGACTTCCTCGAAGGCTCGAATCCTCGCCTTCGGGCTTCGGCTTCCGAAGAATGGATTTTATATTAATATTTTGCTATAAAAAAAATCACTATCCCAATTGCGTCATCGATTTACAGGGAAGATTGGATTCTAAATTACTGAGTCACTGATATATGATAAAAAGTCATTTTTATTGGACTATGGTCATTTTTAATTATTTTGGTTTGCCCACATGGATATTTGCAAAAGAATTTCAAAAACAGGCTGAAGACTTGAAAAGTTGAAGGCTGAAGGCTGCCTGAAGCAGTGAAGCCTGAAGGTACTCAAAAGTCCCTCTGGGGGCTGGGACTCCTGGGAGGCAGGGTCCGGCGGCCAGAGTCCCAGAGTTCCAGAGTCCCAAGGATCATTCACTGTGAACTTTTGTGTGTGTGTAGTGTGAACGACTGCACCGAACGTCTCGAGAACTCCACTTCAACTGAAGTCTGAACGGAATTTACTATTTTTAGGACTTTTATAGGTGTGATTGTTTTCTTTTGTTCGTAAATACGTATATTATTTTGTGGAAATAAAACAACAGAACCCTCGCAAAAAAGGTTTATCAGTATTTCTTGTTAAAAAATTGCTATAGTTTCAGTCTGTTAGAGTATATTTTACTGTACTCTTTGTGATTGGATTATAAATGTTCAAATTGATTTGATAGGACCAATATGATCCGTTCTTAAGATAGCAACTTAAACCCAAATTGTAAATCTGCTCATAAACGGATATTAAGAGTAAAGGTGGCTCGAAGACAATATTGAAGTCGACAAATTTAAATATTACTAAATATTATTACACATGGAAAATATATTTATTTTTATATGATCCAATTCGTTAAAACTTAAAAGTTGTCGAGTCGCCTCAAGCTCGCGTCAACAGTCATCGAAATTCGAAACGAATGCCTCTTAAAAATTGAAAGGGGGCCATGGCACGAGTCACCGCAGCATCCTCTTGGAAGTTCATTGGTTGAAAATGGAAATCCTGAATATCGATCGGACGATTAGCCTGCTGCGTGTGTAAGTGAGGAGTTCTCGCACGAAGAGACAATTTTAAGGTGATGGAGGTCAAAGCAACCAAGTACTGATAACTGATAAGAGTAGACACTACTAGAGAGAGAGAAAGTGCACCTCATGTCGCTAATTTGATACTAGCACCCATACACCTACAAATACAAAGACCCCCTTTTAACATAATGTTGATATGTATACAAATATATAG